TGTCCGAATCAGACTGAAAACTTGACAATTTACCATCTACCGGGCATCGTGTTACTCGTCTGTATCGTTTTATTGATAAACTACGGCATATGATCAAGGTGTTTGAGATAAAAACTGCGATTTTCGGAAAGAAAAATACTCGACAGGAATCCTTTCCCCGTCCGCCATTTTGTCAGGGCGCCTGCGATAAATTCAGCGGTAAACCATATTGCGCACTCTCAGTTGAGATTTAAATTAGCCAATCAGCGGTTTTTTAGCCGTGTCTCTTGCAACAGCATTGTTGCGACACAAGTTTGCATGAGTGTTTACACGGTGCAATAGAGACGCAAACAATTGCTGCAACTTGTTTCGCAACATTTTTTTCAAGTTACGCTGTAGGTTACATGCTGCAATGCTCCATGCAACTTGTGCCGCAACGCTGTTGCGAGACAAGTTGCAGAGAAAATTGCTCCGTGTAATCGCGCCTTTAGTCGTTAATATTTTCCTATGAATCTCGTGTGAAATTTTATTTATTAGTTCAACCTTAACCATGTGGGACTTTTTTTCACAGTCTTCCAAAGATCTCACGTGTTTAGTCAAGTTCGAATACGTCTCGCTTTACACTGGCGGCGCTCAGTTTAAGAAGAAGTTTAAAGCACCAACAGAACACTGCTTCATACTGAAGGTTAGGGAAAAAATACACCCCAAGCCATCCATTTATCGATATCCCACCCATCCATCCTTCAGCCCATTTTTACACCCATCCATTTATCCAGTCATCCATCCAATACTACCTGTTGCTCAGGCTTAACTGTTTGTATTTGTGAATATTTGGACACTGAAATAAGGCAAGCCCTGCATAAATGAGTCTGTGTTAAAGGAACACATCGAAAAAGGTCTTTTATTTATCCATCCATGCGTCTGTCCATTCACCCATCCATCCATGCATGCATTCATCTATCCATCTGTCTGTCAATCCACCCACCCATCCATCCATCCGTCCAATTATTTATCCAATCGTGCTTGTATTTTTTTGTCCATCCAACCCATGCATTTATTCATCCAAAATATCCATATATCTGTCCGTCCGTCTTTCCGTCCGTGCATTCATTTATTCATTTATTTTTTTGTTTTTATCATAGCACCCACAATACCACGAAATCGACTCCAAAGCAATCAAATACTTCTGCGCCGATGATGTAAAGTCTCTCCACAGATGGATCGTGTGCATACGATTAGCTAAGGTAACGAACAGACATCGTCGTTACCATAAGAAAAGCTTGGTTAAGTCGCGCTGTCGCTGATTCGTTTTCTGTTGTTCTTTGTTTTGTTTTGTTGTTGTTTTTTATTGGGGGGAGGGGAAGGGGGGAGGGGTTTCCTTTTTTTTTTGGTTTCTTTTTGGTTTTAAGTACTTAATTTATTTGTTGTTTTTTTTATTTTATTTGTTTGTTTGTTTTGTGTTTTTCAGTGTTTTTTTAAACGTCTAGTTGTATTTTTCTTCGTTTTGTGTGGTTTTTTGCTCTTTTTAAACTTTTATCTTTCTTTTTGGTTTTGCGTATGAAAATGTTTTTTGTGGATTTTTGTTGTTGTTTTTGTTGTTGTTGTTTTCTTTATATGAAAGCCATTTGAATTTCCCAGTACAATATACACAAATCAATATTAAAAAAACGTAGTAAAACGACTAATATCATCCTTATTTTCTGTTGCAGTACGGTTATCAAATGCTGGAAGACTTCGCCATGACACAAACAGAAATGGACCAACTAGCCTTCACACTAGACAAGAATAGATTCGCTAAAGCAGCTAGTTTTAGCGTGGGACAAAGCAACACTGAAGACACGCAGGTTGGTAAGAGGGGAAGAGGATTTTCGTTTATGTTTCGACGCTTTAAGAAATAACTTTTTTTAAAAACTTCAAAACTATGCAATAAGTGCAAAACAACCTGTGTAATGATATATAGAAAAGTTTCAGTTATGTTAAGGTGAAATTTTTACAACCACTTTCGAAGTTATTTACAGTTAAGTAACATGCAGCCCTTCCCTATTACACGCGCCAATCGTAAAATTTATCGTCGCGACAAAATAAGGTTTTGGTGAACGTCAATAAATGTTTCCATAACATTATCAGAAAACGCGAAGCTTTCAAGGGCATGTGTCTAAGGAATGTCATGGAAACGCCTTGATTGACGTCCACCAAAACCTTGTTTGTCGCGTCAACAAATTGTACGATATTGCGCGTGTGATTGGGTTCGCGCTTGTGATTAAGAAATGGGTTTAAGGTGGAAACATTGCAACCACCTTCAAAGTTATTCACAAAATATTTCATATAATTTAAAAGAGTGTACATATTTCTTGTAGTTGACTCGAGTATTAGTTGGTGCTGTTGTATTTTATGATAAAAGTGAGGTTTGTATATTTTATTCGAAGAGCTAAAGATAATTAACTATTAGCTGATTTTGATAACGAGTATAGCCAGGGGCCTTTAAGCTGGTCGCTCTTCCTGGCTATGTACATCTGTAATTCATAACCAAGTCAGTTCAGCATGAGAACTACCAATTTATAAGTACAGGAATTGTAAATAAAAAGAGTAAGATAGACATTCCTGACTTTTTGATGGGCTATGCAGATTCTTCTACGTTCATTGTACCTAGGATTTTTAGGCTCGTATCACATACAGGAATTTTTAGGCTCATTTTACGAGCAGGACATTTTTGGCTAATACATGCGAGATATCTTATTTTTTCTCTCGTACGGCATTTTTAGGTTCCTACGTGTGGGACATTTTAGGCTCGTCTTAACGTACAGGACATTTTGGACTCGTCTTACGTATGGGACATTTTAGGCTTGTGTTACGTATGGTACATTTTTGGCTCGTCTTACGTGCAGGACATTTTTGGCTCGTCTTTCGTACGGGACATTTCAGGCTCGTCTTACGTATGGGACATTTTAGCTTCATCTTTCTTTCATACAGATCTGTATGATGAACACAAGCGAAATGTACCCTTATCGTAATCAAAGAGTTGAAAAAGAAATAAATATATTTCATAGGAGACTTTTAAGGAAGTCTGTCAAGTCAAAAAAAATTCTTACCCATAAATTCTCGTCGTTCCAAATTCCAAGGTGGATCGATAAGGTCAAAGCGTACTTGACAAGAATACTAATGAGATATGACGTGTTATCCAAACAATACACCACCTTAATTCCACTTCCTGTTCAATACTGACCCAGAATACCAACTAATCAACCAAGCATGAAATACTCATCCAATACTATATGAAAAAAGCTACAAAATCAAACCGAAAACAGTAGCCCTCAAAGTATATATACCTCGGGGATAGCAGCTAAATATCAGGCTTGAAGCTTAGCATGTATTAAAAATGTACCGTTTTAAAACTATGTAAACGATCTTAGGAATTTAGGTGATGTATTGTCCTGCCCTGAATTTCCTTGTAATTGTGTTATCGGCGTCTTATCTAGGGTGAGGTGACTCGGCATTAATGTGAGCAGATTAGATTAAGTTTAGAAAGTTTGTTTTAGGGTTCGATGGAATTCAGGTTTTAGGTGTATTTCATAGTTTTTCTACTGCATTAAAGCTTTATAGGAGAATAGACTCTTAGGCCTAGGGCAAACGTCGAACTTTCACATGCACCGAACTCATTAAAAACAATGGATATCAGGTGATAATGAGGCGGCATTCTTTGATGTAATTAAGTTCGGTGCATGGAAAGTTCGACGTTTGCCCTAGGCATTAGTGTCTTTGCCATGGAAATAAGATTCTTTGCTTGAGTTGTATCCATATTCATTTGTCTTCTCATGCGTTACCGCAAAGAAATGATACTCTAGGGAATGACAGGTGGTCTGCAATGAGAAGACTTTACGCCTAAGCTAAAGCGATGTATTTGCTTTTTAAATAGTGGACAAATTATGTATTTTATATTAGGTATTCCAAAATTTTCTTCACTCCCCTACCCCCAAGAAGTAATGAGGTAATTGCTATATTGGTAATTTCTAATTTCAGTAATAAAGTTTATTATTATTATTCTAAGACTAGCTGTGTCTGGAAAATGAGGAAAATTTTTGCTTGCTGTGCTTAACATTCTTACTTAAACAAGTGGAAATGAGTTTTCAATTGGTGTAGTGCAGTATCGCACCTCCAAATGATGATTTTGAATTTATAAATAGACTTTGCTCGTATTAAGCCATGCCTAACATATAAATCAGGATTACTAGTTGATTTATATTCAAATGCATTTATCTTGACAAGTATTAACAAACAAGAAAGGAAATGATACTCTAGGAAATGGTCTTGTGGTTGTAATGGGACAACACTGATGTGATCTAGAGAGATCTGTAGACAGGGAGTGAGGTCTGGGTTAGTCTCGCGTGCCGCGCTAAACAATTAGCAACCAGAACTCTATATTATTGATGTTATCTCAATTTCTGCCGCGTGTCATTCACTGGAGTATCGTTTCACAAGTCTAATATTAAATTAACATTTATACCTGATTGCACGAACGTTGTCAAAAAACAACAACAACATCAACAAGCAAATAGGATTATAAACAAATAGGAGTTGATTATTTTTTGAGTAAAATAAGAGTAATTTTTTTCACTGTTTTGAAGGTATAGACTGACCTTTTTGATATTACCTTGTTATTAAAAAGAGAGTTGACATGTGCATTGTGTTAATTATTTCACATATATGATTCAATGTCTTATAAAAAAAATATTTTATTTAGATAACCGATGCTCGAGACAAGGCAGTGAAAACAGCCAAAGCTCAATCTGACAAGATCAAGATGGCCATGGGACCAAAGTATTCAGGTTAAAAAAAACGATACCCCGATACCGACACTAGAGAAAAACGTTTGCGCATGCGTTCACTTCAGCACGCTTTCTAAGAATTTTGAAGAGTTTGAGTGAGAAAATAAATGTTTGTTTTCTCCAAGTATACGAAAAAGTTCGAGAGTATACTTTTGTCAGACCAAGATACTGTATTAACAAACCCAATATGAAAGAATTAGCCTTAAGTTTCAAGCATGGACACTCAGTTTTGGCATTTTGTGAAGTCCAATTTATCACGCATGTTTGAAAGTCAAATTTACTTAGGTTTTCACTAATTTGCATACGGATTCAGAGCATGCGCAGACGTTTTTCACTCGTGTCCCCGATAGCAGGTTTTTCTTCCGGGTTCACCGGTCCCCGGCAAACAAAGTGTTTCCATGGTGTTGTCAGAAAACATAAAATTTTACATCAGGGCACGTGCCTCATGTCATGTAAACGCCATGATTAGTGACGTCCGCCAAAGCCTACCTACTTCGCGCGTGTGATTAGGAAGCATTGTAAATAAAAATAATAATATTTCAAGTTGTTAACGTGGTTGGCTGTGTTATTTAGGGAGTCAAAGTTTCTCTGTATCGAGAAAGCAGTCAACAGAAAAGCGACAGCAGAAGAAGAACATTGGGAACTTGTTTTCTGATGCCTGGAACAAAGGGACTGAACCAGAAGAAGAGGTATAAAACATTATCGATTTGTGTTGTGCTTTTTAAACTTCACAATAAACATCAATAGAAGGTTCACTGCAGGCAAAAATTAAAGCAAGCGGGTTTTGCATGACAAAAGACAAATAAAACAGCTTTATCCGTGCTCTACTCAGTAATATAGCACGCAGGAAGTGACTTAAGCACAAAAGAAGTGTAAGGAGAACGGCTCGTTCTTCTCACACTTCTTGAGTCAAAGTGCTTACGGCGCTTCCAAGGTGACTTATTAGTAAACGAAGGTCGGAAAAAGCTGTTTTATTCGTTTTATTATATAGTTACTGATTTTATTTTGGTATTGAATTTACTTACGCAAAAAGAAAGACGGTCACGTCGACGGTCAGAATCTAGCAAGAATTCGCGCGCGCGGATGGCGTCGGCCCTGTGCTTCATCACTAATAAAGCACAGTTTTCGACCAATCAGCGCGCACGTACTATCCTAACTATATAACAAAATCAAATCTCCTTTTAATTTTTTTTTTTTTTTTTTTTATTCATTATTCAGAATGGCCCTGTATCTCCAGACACGCCCTCGAGTACTGGGTCTGGGATGACCCCAAACACCTTCGAACCCAAATCATTTAATATCGCGATCGATAATGCATTCAACATGGACAAAATATCCGAGGAGCAGCCCCCTCCTCCGCCTCCACTACTGCAGAATGAATTGAACGAAGATATTCCTCCACCTATAGCAAGTAAAAACAGCAGTAAGAGTAACAGTCTTGAAAGAAATAATATGGAGAATGACAAAAATACGGCTGATCAGACACAAATTCCGTCGCCAACTGAAGTCAAGTCAATGTTGGAAACTCTTCATTCCTCACCACCGCCATTATCAAGTAAAGGTGTGTCTATGTTACCGCACTCGGCACCTGCACAGACCACCGCACCCCCTCCCCCACTGTTGTGTAATTCTGCACCAGCACCACCTATAGCACGTAACGAATCACTACGTTCACCGTCAGGTTCATTTGTAGTTGCACAACCCTCGTCTTCCCCGCCCAATGAATCATTCACGGGTTCCCCTCGCTCTCCGCACGCTGGAGCCTTCGCCTCCTTTGGTGAACCACCTCTGCCTCCCCCACCGGTAGCGCGCAAGCCATCCAGGTCAAACAGCATTCGCTCTCAGCAAAGCATAGATGAGGAGCTCCCAATGACATCTGATGATTCCTTAGATGATGACTTGCCAGACTTCCCTCCCCCACCTCCCCTCCCCCAGAATAGTTCCATACCCCCTCCCGTTAAGAGAAAACCGTCAAGAAGTGGTAGCATGAATGGAAATGGGATAGGAAATGTGAATAAAAAGATAACTCGCGTTGCAGAAATGGGATCGACGGATTCTCTTGACAATATCCCGCCTCCTCCCCCCCTGGACATGGCAATGGACACCGACGTTGACCTACCACCACCTCCACCGGAGGCTCTTTTTAAGAACCAATTGGAGTCTTCCTTGATAAGATCAAACAGCGAAAGCCGGGATAGAGCCAATAGCAGTGGAAAGACTCCTCCGCCTCCGCCTCCGAAAACTAGTCGTCCAAGACTGACCAGCAATGGAAAAGGACAGCTATCTTGATACACTATAAACGACAATTTAATTTGCAAACAAACTACCTCGTGATTGGATTGGATCAAAAATCGATTTAGAACCCGATGAATGGTTGATTGACAAGGCACGTCATAGTCACGTGATTTCATAATCCCGAAGATTGGATTGGATCAAAAATTGATTTGGAAACCAATAAATGGTTGATTGACAAGACGTCACAGTCACGTAATTTCATGATCTCGACAAGGCATTTGAAGATAGCTTTTATAATACCACTTGTTAAAGCTGGAACAATCAATAAACCTTAAAAATTCAACGAAAATCAAGAATTATGCTTCATTGAAACAAAAAGCCTATAGTTTCAAAGTTGAAGAACGAAAATCTACAAGAAAATTATGAATAACGCAAGAATACATGAAGTAGAAATGGATACTTGAAGCGCTTGCTGTAGAGTACGTACAGACGTTTTAGATTCATATAAATATTAGTATATTATTAGCCTATTACTGTCTTTTTTAATGCCAGCTACCATTCAATTTAATTTACCAAGATTATTTTTCACTCAATTATTAGTCGTTAAAATACAGTCGAAAAGAAAATCTCGGCGAAGTATTCATGAAATCTTTAGTAGTTTTTAATTTATTATATTTTATAATTTGTACTAGAGAGAAGGTTTGTAAAAGGCAGTAACACACGATGAAGCAGGGTAGCAAGGCGCTGATACACTAGACAATTGCTGGCTTTCACTCAGCTGATAAAATATTTTGAATCTCATTATCTGCTCCACATGGTGGTCAAACACTGACCATCATGTGCTGAACGAATTCTCGTGATTCAGCTGATGAACATTCCGCACGAGGCAGGAAATAACGTCTAGTGAAAGCCAGCAATTCTTGGAGTGCAACCACATGACTCAAAATCCCTCGAAATATAAACAATGAAACTGTCAGCCGCCATGTTGGTTGATCTAACAAGAGAAGCTAACGAGGAATGCTTCGTTATCGTCAACCAACATGGCGGCTATGACGACAATGGTCTGCAAATTCTCTAGTAATTTTGTTGCCAGGAACTAACTTATCACATGAGAACGTTTAGTGAAAAACATCGTTTATTGTAGTTGAAGCGGGGAGACGTAATTACTTTTACACTGCTTCTCAACAATTTGCCGTCGCAAATAGCGTTTTAGTGGACGTCAGTCAGCGTTTCCATGACATTGGTAAACACATTTTTTTAAGGGCATCTGCCTATGGAATGTCATGGAAACCCCTTGATTGACGTCCACCAAATCCTACTTCGCCGTGACCACGACGCGCAAGCTATTGCGAAGGATTATATCTTCAGCTGTAAAATTATGCTGTATTCACATTTCGGATGGACCGTTAAATTTTGAGGAATTTTAATGTTTATATTTTTAAGTAATAAATAATCAAGTGATATATATTTTTGAAGGGATATTCTTATTGATTCAATATTTTATGGGGAGGTTTAGAATTCTCAAAATACAATGGTCTACCCCTAAACCATAATTCCTTGCACGAGATGAATCAGAATTTCGCTTTTAAAACATTGTTATTTCTTTGGCGTCTTTGTTTTACAAGGCGATACTCGAAAAGCCAGTTTATGGCGAATCTGGATCAATGAAAATGTCATCAGTTTCTTTGTGCACGGAGTTATGTTTATTATGTGAATAGTGTTGTTTTACAGCTGATAATTTGGTCTATTTCGTGTGAGAGAAATCGTATGGTACTGAAAATATTTTCACCGTTGACCAATCAAATTGCGAGCCGACCCACTCACAGCAAAGTATGGTCACGACACGGTATTGTACAGTTCTCCCTCACACGTAATTTACTCCACGTACCTGAAGTCTATTACCAATGTACCAATAATTAATCGAACAAGAATATACATATATATGTGCGTTCATTTCGTTTACGTTTCTTCGTTTAGTATTGAATCGATATGTAAGATATAACTTTGGATTGTATGTTAGATAAACAGGACACTGGTGAAAAACGCACTGCGCACGCTCGGAGATGGCATAGCGTAACTAAGGGCAACTTGTGTTTTTGATGCCGGTGTTTTGATTGTTTTACAAAATCGCAAAACTTAAGAAAAATGCTGAAAACTTAAGGTTGTCCTTTTCGCAATAGCAAGATAATTTCGATAGTGATACACAGCTGATTTATACAAAAAAACTTTTGTTTATACAAAGCAAAAATAATCTTTGAAAATGCCGCCACTCGCGGCCCGACGATTTGCAGATAATMACATGGTCGGATCCTATGTAAAGAAATCCAAAAATATGTGTAAAATTCCAAACCGAATATTCAAAAAATAGCCCTGTCGGTTAAAATAAAACCTACCTTTAGATGTGATCAATTGTTATTGTCCGCCATTTTGTTTTTTCTCCCAACGCATGCGCAGTGCGTTTTTCATCAGTGTCGATAAACAGCCATCCGTTCCATATAATCAACATATTATGTATAGCCATAAAAAAAGTTATCTAAATCTATAAGGTTTGGTTAGCCTGTACGTTTTATTGAATAAACTCTAGAGATTGCGAATGTAATCTGTGTCATTGAGGGTAATATATATATTATACAAAAAAAGTCTGTAAATAATTTGTTAGGTCTCTCCCTTGATTCAGGGGTTTTTCTCTGATTTTCCTCCTTCCGCAGAACCCTAAAAACCAATTTGATCTGTGAGTCTAGCCGTGCCCTAACTTAGATCAGCCCAGAGGTTGTTTCAGGGTTTAATCTGTGAGTTAGCCGTGCCCTGACTTAGATCAGCCTAGAGGTTGTTTCAGGTTTTAATCTATGGGTTAGCCGTGCCCTGACTTGGATCAGCCCAGAGGTTGTTTCAGAGCATCGATCTGTGAGTTAGCCGTGCCCTGACTTGGATCAGCCCAGAGGTTGTTTCAGATAGCCTGCGTCACATCCGGTGTTATCCAATGGAAGTTCACTTTAGAATGAGCAATGGCTAACAGCCAATCAGAATCTATTATATATAATCGCGCAATTTGCAGGGGGTCTAGAACAAGCTTTCTGGCGATGTTTCGCAGACGGTATTTACGAAGAAAATTCCGAATGTGACGCAGGCTAGTTTCAGAGCATCGATCAAAGTTTTTCGATCTAATTTTGGCTTGTTCCCTTTTGGCTTTCCCTTAGTTTCTCATACACATAGGCCACATTGAGAACACTGACTTCGTCAAACTTTTTGCCAACGATCATCATCCCAATTGGGTAACCAGTTGATGTATTTGGTGATGGTGCATTAATAGACAAGGCTGGGTGGCCAGTGACGTCAAACTGTGACGTGTTGGGATGTGGGATCAAACACGAATCCATATACTCTAAAAAAACAGAATTTAAACAACATATGAGCTTTGCCAAGTCATAACTAAAAAACAAGGTGCATTGTGGTCTAGTTTGAGTACCAACAACACTCTATATAGAGTATAATAAAGAATATGAAGAAAAATTAAAAGGTATTTTACTCAAATAGGCCACTGATATCATATTGCATCTTGTCCGATGGAATCTGATGAACAACAGCGAGAGAAAAGGTTCTCTCACTTATGAATAACACAATCAATATTGATTTATCCAAATTCATTTCCGCCATTTTGTTACTACTAGTATAAAATCTTGGTGGAAATAATGGAAACATGGTTATAATTGACCTTCATTCAACATCCTTTTATTCATTGTATTTACCTTTGAATGGGGCGTCTTTGTCGGGGAACTGAATGACTGTTTTAGGACATGTTGGCATAATGAGTACATCAAAACTCTTCAAAGCTTCATCGTAAGCCTTGGTCAGCTCTCTTCGTAGGTTTTGTGCTCTGCTGTATAGTACGCCATTGCAGGTGTCCTTCATGTATCTGAATTATGGAGCACACAAATCGATTCAAGATCTAGATATTCAAGTTTTTCGTTCAAGTCGTGCGTTCAAGTTTTGATTTCAAGTTTAAGTTCCAATTCAGATAATCAAATTTCAAGTTCAATTTTTGCGTTTTTAAAGTTCGCTTCCAGCTAAAAGTTCACTAGTTCAAGTTTACTACAAAAAATGAATTATTATACATGGAGAAGAGTATACCCACTGTATTGCAAATAGAAAGGACCTCATCGAGGTAGGACAGTGTAACTAATAAACATTAAATGGCTGGCTATTCGCAAATTGAAAAGTAATACTATAGGAAATTAAATTACACAATATAAACTTAATGTCTGGTCGCCAGGGAAATAGTTTTAGTTTCACGAGAGTCTTCTCGATGTTTCACGAGGCGAAGCAGAGGGAAACATCGTGACTCGAGGGAAAACAAAACTAACTAACTTCCCGAGGGACCAGACATTAAGTGTTTTGTTATATAGCAATAAATTGTACAATTGAGAAATATTGAGAAGTCAGTGTACGAAATAAGAACTTTATTTAGCAAGCTAAATGCATGAAAACTGACAACTGATTTTACAAATAAAACTCACTACGGTCTTGCATTTCTCTACCAAAAAGCGAGGAGAGTAGCAACAGCATTTTTCAGTCGTTTTTTTCCTATTTTCCGAATCCTTTTTCTTAATGAAAGTCTGTAATTTCTCTGTAGAAACACTGGAAAATCTCTGTTGTTTTGTTTCGCTTGCTGTTAAGCTTTTATTTGTACTGAAGATTCAAGCAAAATATTTGCTTCCGCTTTGTTGTTTGTTATTGGTGCAAAATATCACGCCATCAGCGTTTTCCGCGTTCTGATCACGTGGACTTGTTTATTTTCACGATTATTGTCACGTGCCACTTATAATTTCCCTACCGAGAAATAAGTAACTTATTTCAGATTTAGCTAGTGTCACGTGCATGGTCATCTTTCAACCAATGAGAGTGTTCGTTATATCGGAAAAGTTCGTAGCCATATAACAAATATTGAAAGAAAAAAAAAACGTATAATAGTTCGACATCGTCCGGCATCCCTTTCACAGTTCCCTGCGCCATCATAAAGGCCCGTTTACACAGGCGATTTTTTCGGCGATTTGAAGCGCGATTCTTACGGCGATTCACGTGCGATCATAAATCGCTTGTGTAAACTACCGGCGATTTTGAGGCGATTTGAGTTGCGACTTTCTCGCGATCTGCTGCGATTTTGAATTGGGCTCAGGGAACTCATTCAAAGGACATGAAGCGTGCCCCCTTAAAACGACATTTTTCAAATCATTATTAGACGTTTCAATTCATTCTTTGTTTCAATCTTCCCGAGTTGTTTTCAAAAATAAATTCAAATCTCGAGGACTATGGCGCACATTGATGAGCTGTCAAAAGGGTACTAAATTAGCCAACCATCGATAACAGTCGACCACATTCCAACGAGCCGGGACCAACTGATAAACACGGAGTCATACATGTTTGATGCAGCTCGTCGAAATTAAAATTTAAATTTGAAATCGAATAATTAATCAAATAATCCAAGGTATATAATCATCTATTGCATGGTACCTTGAAATAAGAAGACAAAACTTCAAATTCCTTGACAGATGATTGGGTTGTGTCTTGAGTCCTCGTGCGATTGCCTGTTGTAGATTGGTGTCATTATATGAACTGGACGTGAAGGTCGACCCTGCAGATTGCAATGAAAAAAAAAAAAAAAGATAAACCTAGAAAATTTCTTTTCAAATTCGATACGATATTCTCCCTTTGACCATTTCTGAGATTGGCTTGGCTAGGCAATCCAGTCCAACCCCCACATTTATGCAATGCTTATTACCATCAAGAAGTGAAGTCCCAGCGTACTCTAAGAACATGGTGCTACCTATCTTTCCTCCTGTAAAAAAAGGAGCAATCAAACTCTAATTAAATAGTAACTATATAATAAAAACGGCTTTTTCCGAGCTGCGTTCACTAATAAAGCACTTAGGAAGCGCCGTAAGCACTCAAGAAGATTGGGAAGCGCTCGCCTACAGCTCGTGCTTCTCCTTACACTTACTTCCGTGCTTACGTCGCTTCCTGCGTGCTTTATTACTGAACTGAGCACGGAAAAAGCTCTTTTATTTGTTAAATATAGCTTATATATATGTTAGACGCGCGCTGTGATTGGTTGAGAACTTTGCTGTATTAGTAAACGAACACGGTTGCTGGGACCATCCTCGCGCGCAGCAGACTTTGCAAAGAATCGTAAGAACGAGACTAAGAACGGCTCATTAGCAGCGCATGCGCATGGCACCTGTTCTTCCCATTCATCGATGGTAATGCTTCAATAAATAAAATACTAAACTTAACCAAAAGCATGTACTGGCAATCATTCCAATGCATGCGGACAATGGACTACTTCGACGATGCGGCGGCCATAAAAATAAATAAATAAAATAAATTAACTTTGTTAGAGGATAATACTTGACAGTAACTCAACTGATAAACTTGTGGTCCTCTGTTAACCATCTGTTGCCATCTTGAATTGAAAGGCATTATGGGTTATCCAAGGGGGCAAACATACAAAGCTTTGTTACAATAACGGCGTCAATGGGCATTAACAGCTCAAAACAAGAAAATTTGACAAGGCATATTTAATTTAAAAAACAAAAACAACAACAACAAAACAATGTACAGTTACAAAAGTAAGTAAATTTCTCAAGGATCGTGGGGTCGTCATTTCAACATCTTGGCTTTGTTTTTCCCCATGAACAAACTTAATGCCTTGCGATTCAAGGTGGCTGCCGCATCGTCGAAGTAGTAAATTGATCTATATGAACAATGTTCATACCAATTGAATGCCATGGAATCGATACTTCTTCGACTTTTGCTCCAGCTTCTCTTCTCAACAACTCGACTGCTCCTTTGACACTCTGGCTTATCGTCTCCTCCATTGAAGGGGACTCAAAGCCCTCCTTTACCAAACCAATTCTCATTCCTTTTATGTCTCCTGTCAACTATAACAAGATAAAGTTGGTATATGGGCGATCTGTATTCATACTTTAAATAAAAGTTATAGCATATCTACAGTCTGGAGTCCAAAATGTGTACATTTTTCGAAAACGCTTTAGACCTGCTACAACTACATGATAGAGATATTTAGAAATTGTTTTGATTAGCATAGGAAATAGCACGATCTCGAGTACAATTCGGAATTTATAGATACTACTGATGTTTTGAAAGTTTTCAAAATTGACCGAGCCTTTTAGGCGAGTCCAACTTGAGAACTTTAATTGGGACTCTACAAAGTACAATTTGGAATGTAATTGTACTCCTATTGTCCAATCAGGATCGAGTAATTTTGTTGAGTGTATTATAAGTCTACATAATACATCCAATTAGATAGCTTGGAGTTCCTCTTCCCTAAAACATAATTATAAGCCAATCTCAAGGGTATCGCCTTCACCCATCTCAGAAACAGTCCCCCAAACCCCCCTCCATCCCTCCATCCCCCTCCCTTCCTCCCGCCCTCCGTCCTTCCCTCCTTCCCTCCTAGCTTCCCCACCTCCCCACTCCCGTCTCAACCCTCTTCAAATTGTGACGACGTGGATGTACCGATACGATATTCAGGATATATACAGCTACTTCGAAAAAGGTTAAGAGGAGAACGGTAAATGGCGTTCAGTGATTGGCGATTGCACGACCAGAAAGAACTGTGGTCATACTATCATGGAGACGTGAATCGAATACCAAACGCATCAACTCGAGATCTAAAGCCTTCGCTCATGAATGTTGCAGGCGTTGTTTAGGTATTTAATTTCAGTCGTGCAGTGAATCGCCAATCACCGACCGCCATTCATCCCTTCAACCTTCTTCGAAATAGCTGAATAAATGAAGTTAAGTGACAAGCGAATAAGAAGGAAATATAACATTGTCGTAAACGTTTGGAACACGGTGTTATTAAAATAAGCTTCGTTCTTATTAATTCACTTCTCATTCCGCCTCTCTAGTGAATGTTCATACCAGTTTTGTGTATGGTGGTACAGTCAGATTACAGGGTTGTCTTGGATCCATGTCTTCATCTCGTCCGGTAATCACCTTTAGAAAACAAATTAGATTAACAAATAATTCGTTCATTGATATAGCACACAGGAAGTGACGTAATCACGAAAGAAGTGTAAGGAGAAGCACGAGCAGTAGGCGCTTTCTTACTGGATGGACCAAACGGAAAAACCTGTTCTATTCGCTTTATCATAGAGTAACTAATTTAATTTCGGTATTGAATTTATTTACGCAAAAAGAAAGACGGCCGCAGGATCTAGCATTTCGCGCGCGGATGGCGTCAGCACTGTGCTCCGTTCACTTATAAAACACAGCTTTCGACCAATCAACGCGCACGTACTATCCTAACTGTATAATATATAAATGCCTATATTGCAAGTGCTAGGTTCATTCATATTTTTATATTAAGGATTTAAAATCTACGGTGTATTTATGGCGGCTTTGCTTATTCATTTAAAAGAAGATGTTAATTAAAGTTAATTGTGAACGTTTGAAAAAAATATGAAACTATTCCCTTTTAAAACGGAAGTATAAGACTTTGAAGATGAGAGAATACATGAAAACGACGCCACATGATTTCCAATATCTTTAGGAGTTTTGCTGCTATGTAATTCAAACTGTTTATATTCGTCGATTTATTCAATTAAGTGAGATATCTTTCAGTTGGTATACAAAAGGTGTTGTAATAAGAAAGTGTTCATAATCTATGGGGTAGGGATTGTTATGGGGATTTTACATTTTGAAATGAAATTTAATCTCGAAAAGGTCTATATTACGGACACCTCTATATTACAAAAACCTCTTTATATATTACGGACCATAAATTATTTCTTTCTTACTGCACCTCTATCTTAAGGACTCTCCTATATTACAGTCCTTCGGTGTTCGTATTATAGAAGTTTCATTGTAGTAAAGCAGCCAAAAATAATGGTTCCCCAAAAAATCCTTTTATTAATTCTAATACCTCTAGCAGGAGAGCAGTGTTCCACACGTCTTTGGCCATGGGTCCAACATGGTCTATAGTGAAATCTATTGAAGCGATCCCTGTGTATGGTACAAGACCAAAGGTAGGCTTGAGCCCAACTATACCGCATGCTGCTGCTGGTGTTCGTATGGAACCACCTTGGTCGCCTCCTATCGCCATGTCTACTTCCCCCGCAGCAATCTAAACACAGGAAGTCCAGACTATATATAGTTATACATTATAAGGCTTTAAAGGGAAAATTTTAGATTTCATCAATCCCTGAAACAACCTCTGGGCTGATCTAGGTCAGGGCACGACAAACTCACACATCGAACCCTGCAACAATATCTGGGATGATCTAAGTCAGGGCATGGATAACTCACCGATCGAACCCTCAGTGAAACAACCTCTTGGCCGATCTAAGTCAGGGCACAGCTGTCTTAAAAATCAAAATGTAATTCAACCAAAAAACCCTCGAATCAAGTGGAAAAACCCGACAAACTCGCATGTGACTATGATGCCGAGCTCAGGAATCGACACAAAAGATGAGAGGAATTTACTACCACTACGGGGTTCCTGCACATACGCATTCCCCCCCCCCCCACCCGGATGGGGGATAAAGTAGGGGGAGGGGGGAGGGGGGTAGGGAGATTCCTGACCTCTGGTTAAAACTCACCAGTGCTGCACATCCAGAGGAAGATCCACCTGCCATAACTGGCCGACATACATTCATGCTACTTTGATGTGGATTCAGGACTGGTCCAGTGCAAGCAGTCAAGCTACCATCACTATAACAAAACTCCTCACAAGTAGCTTTGCCAAGAATCCGACCTCCGGCATCAAGTACCCGGGTTACAACTGTAGCATCTATATCCGGTACGAAATCCTCCAGTATCCGAGATCCGATCATCATGGGTACTCCTGCTACTGGGATGTTGTCTTTGATGGCAACCGTCTTGCCGTCAAGGAGTCCACTTCTTGTCCCTTGGATATCACACTTCCAGTGCCTTAGGTAGAGATCAAAAGGCAGACTTATCAAACAATCGTACGATCAAAATGAACGATTTAAACTTTACCAGTCAATCAGTCATGCAATCAGACAGTGCGTATATCAGCCTAGTCAGTTGGTCAGTCTGCCAATCGGTCAGTCTATATGTCGTCAGCCCGATCGGTCTGAATCGGTCGGTACATTAAATGATCGACCAAAAAATCATTCTGTATGTCGTCAGCCCGATCGGTCCGAATCGGTCGTTAGATTAAATGATCGACCAGATCATTAAGTCAGCCCGACTGTTCGGTCGGTCGGTCGGTAGATTAGTCTATATGTCAAGCTGGTCGATCAATCGATAAATCGAAAAACCAGTCAGTCAGGCAAATATGGAAATCAAGTGACTTAGTCAGCTACCGTCAATCAAGTTGCTCAGTCGGTCTGTAGATCGGTCGCTAGGTTAGTCAACCGATAGACCCCTTGCGGTATGTTATTTGGAATGCACCTCAATTTGGAGGACATAACAATAGGTTTCCAATTTTCATGATATTGTTATTCGTGTATTTCGTCCTCTAGATGAGATTTTTTGACGGCACATGCAAGGGGTCTGTAGACGGTTGGTGGGTCATCCGAACTTTTTAGCTGCATGCAGTCAATATAATGCATTCTCTACTTTCACATCCCCATAATCCTTTGCGTCTTTGGGGGGTAACCAGAGGGTAAAAACCCACTTATTTTGCTGAAGGCTGATAAGACAATGTTGACAATACCTTGTTTGGTATCCGAAGATAAAATGAAGAAGTAAAAAACAGAAAAAGATAGAAGCTTGAAGACGTTTAAGGTAAATTTTAAACATTTTTTCGTAAGTCAATACATTTTCTGTAAGACCAAAACTCTTGATGATCTGTACACGCCAAAATAACTTGGAATAAACTGATAATCAGTATTGTACAGATAAAAGCAGGTATAGTATAAATTCAATTAAGAAACCTTTCAATTTGGGACAGTTTTTTGATTGGTTACCCCCCAAAAACGCAAGGCATTATGGGGATGTGAAAGTCGGTATGTGGATCGAACAGTCGCTCGGTCATTCAGTTGGGGGTCAGTTAGTCTTTCACTTTCTATCATCTCATACATACCAGGCATTCAGAGGGTTTTCCTGTTTGGTCGGCCTGTATCCTGGTGTCCGAGGATACTTCACAGGGAGCTTGGGTTCCACCATATCATAAACATCTTGAAATGTCTCACTTATTGTTGTCTTTATGGTATCTACAATAGGCGGGGTGCGGGGAAAATAGGTTGAAGAGTTCTTTATCGATTTTGGAGAAAAATGGTCGAAAGAAACAAATTACGTGTAAAACAGAGAATTATATTTTTCTTCGAATGATTCAGGGTTGATAAAAGCTAGGTCAATAAAATACACAAACTGGACGACAAACTCGATGAAGATTCAATGTTTTGGCTGGTTTCAGGTGGTTTCAGGTGGTTTCACGTCGCTCCTTGCTTTAGTAACTACCCGAACTGGTGAGGAGTGAGTCACGCTACACAGCCATCTTAAAATACATTCATCAGTTCAAGTGTCTTCAAAAGTTAAAATAAACGACAATATTTCAAAAATCTTCCTATCAATGCTAAAAGGAAGTTTTTAAAAAACACAAAAACACAAGAGAAAATAATTTCACAAACCTCTGTATTCCTTTAGTTCTTCATCGTTCAACTCCAGTCCAATGTCACGCGCAATATCAGACAATCGAGTGCAACTTGGGGCAGGAATGGTCGTATCTCTAATCTCTAGTTCTAGGTAGAAAAACCAAGGGGGAAAATAATTAAAATCGGCAGAGTATTCCCTCGCAGTTCAAATATCAAAATCGAAGTAGTTGGTATTAAGGAATTAAGAATACCAAGAAGGGGAATATCAAATTTTTCCATCCAAAAAGAATAGATATTTTGAAGGTTATTGATCTCTGCAATACTAATTGAAAATTAGCCTGTGAGTTTAATTATATCAGTTTTCTGAGCAGTCTCACACTCGCATAAGCTTTATTTACATGTCGTACAGTAAAAGCTACTCACGTGCCAAATAAAGCAAGATTAATGTAAAACTGTCTAAGATATATCGTCATTTTTGAAACATCTTTTTAAGCAAAATTTGTTCCAGACAAAGATGTTTACCAGAATAAAAGAGCACTTTGACTTCAAATACAATAATCGTTTTGCTTTTTTTGGTCTTCATTTCGATAATATTAAGTTTGGATTTAAACTCTAAATTTAATAATAGGTTATTAATAGTGAATAAAGGTGCTTACTTGACATAACAGTAGTTTAGGCCTGTTTTCCTTTGCGACACCTCTTTCGTTTTAGACACAACTTCCGTCATACTGACCTATAAGGGTCCAATCTCGTATTCAGAGCCTACGTCTCTTCTGGCCTGCGGCAACGAACGAGGTCTCTGTCATAATGCAATTTTTGGCGCATGCTCAATTTTCCGGAAGTGAAATATAATCAATGAAGGTCTGTGTTGACTTCCGATCAGAATAAAAATTAGAAATGGGGAACATATTTTTTTAATGTTTGGCAAGTCTTTGAACGCATGTGCTCTTATTCCAGAAGTTCTAGAAATCCTGGTCTCGAAAAATGGATTATGCCAGAGCCCTCATTCTTCGGGTTAAAATTGTCATAGCTAAGTGCGAAAGGAAACGAAAGGGAAGGGAAGTAAACGAACATGAAAAGAAAGGAAATTGGAAAAGAGAAGGGAAAGGAAAGTTAAAAGAAAAAGGAAAGGATAGCTAATTTAATTATTTGCTTTAACATTGGTCTTAACATTGAGAATTAATAATAACAATATTAACATTCATTTATACCGAGGGCAGATCCAGCCAGATCCGCCCTTGTATACAGTCCACCGAAAAAAGACATTTACACATTTAGACTAAAAGATATATGACGTGTTTCATTATGTATTCTTTGCCTTGTGTGCGTCAGCCTGAACTTTAAATGTAAAATTCAACTCGTGAGTCAAAAATCCAGAATGCCCTGACCATTTAGCGAGGATTTAAGATGGAGAATTGGTATTTCAGC